TATATATATACATGCCACTGCGGGGAGGCCAGGAGAGGCCATCTTACCGGTAAAGGAGGAATCGGATGCAATTACCTGGCCCAGCGGTGGGAGCCCCCAAGCAAGTGATAGCAGCTCTTGAGGACAGGAAATTTATTCCCCTTTTTCCACATGTAGACTCGCAAGGAGAGGTCGAAAGAAGAGGTGATGACTCGGCTCTGGTCCTTGAAATGAAAGCTACATGAGGCGGGGATGTGGTCTCCGGGGGTTGGGCTCCTCGATCCGGGCCGGGGGGTGCGGCACTCACCACACACAAGGATGTGATGGACTGCTGATGGTCCTGGAAGGCTGCCAGCTGCAGGCCGTGGATGGTGAAGAGCACCAGCTCAGACCCCGACACCAGCAGCACCACTTGGGAGCCGTGCCCCTTCATGAGGTGAGGAGGCATCATGGTGTCTGGCAGGTTGAAAGTTGCGATCTGCTGTACTTTTTGAAAGAAAAACACACCGATTGTCATTTCTTGATAGCAGCTGGAGTCTGGGACAGGCGTGCCTCACCTAAGATGACGCAGCACATTGAAAAGGGCAAGGGCTTCAGTTACAGCAGCGTTCAAGGCTGAACCATACGTTTACTCCCTCAGCCTCCCATGCATTGGCTCTACCGCACTGAATCCGGTGCCTGGCTTACAGGGGATACTGTGCAGGTGGAAGTGACAGTACCTGGCACACAGCACCATCCAGAGAATGGGGAGAATGAACACCCTTCCTCATCTAGGACAGGGTGATATGAAAAAGGGTCACAAGAGAACCAAGACATTTACGACATCTGCCCAAAACTACTGTTGAAGACAGTCTTTTACCCTGTATAGCATTCCTTGTTTTTTAAAAAAAATCAACTTGATCACTTCCTAATGGAGTTTAGCACCAGGAAGAAAAAATTACCTCTTTTGAAAAATTCATGTGCTTTCTCTTATCAGACAAGGGATTATTCCATATTCTGTTTTCCCTTTTTCCTCGGCTGCCAGGAAGCTCAGAATAAAAACTAAGGTCAAATGATGACATGAAAACAAATGAACATAAAACCAAAGGAAAACAGCGAAGGACCACAGGGAAGGCCTGTCTGGGAGACAGGGAAGGAGAGGGCTGTGGGTCTTACTTTCCTATGGACTAGAAGCTCCTTGGGGAAGAGACAGGTGTGGCTTTTATCCATCTTTGCCTGCACTGTGCTGAGAACAGTGCCTTGGATACAGCGGTGAAAAGAAGCAGGGACAAATGGAAGCAGGAAAATAAGTCAGGAGAGGGCAGACTGTAAGCTGACAGTAGTTAACATTTGAATTCAGGGCTACGCAGAGGGCCTGACACAGAGCAGGTGCTCAACCACTCACACAGTATATAACATCACAAACAAGGAAACATTCGTTGGGTCACTATATTCTCTGTGAGAAAAGAAAAAGTGTCCCAAAGGAAACATGAGGAATCTGTGCTTGAAGCATGAAGCATCCTATGCAACGTTGGTGACATGCAGGCCCACAGGTCCTGTTGGGGATCCTTACCCAGAACGTTCATTGCATCCCTGGACTTCTTAGCCCCTAGCTCGTAGGTGGTGACCACCCACTGCACGCCGTTGTCATCTCTGTGCACCACCACCAGCCTGGCTGCCTCATCGGGGGCCCAGCAGGCTTTGGAAGTCAGCCCGATGGGGAGAGCGGTGGAGACAGGAGGCTCGTCTTCCAGTGGACACAGCAAGGAGTGCGAGTGGAACACCTGGGGAACAGCACCGCCGGCCTCAGTGCGATGACGGGGACGCCTCCGACCCCGGAGCACTCTCCAGCGGCTCGCTCAGGGACCCACACCCACAGTGACCTTCCGGGTGTTAGGGAGCGGCTGTGCCACTCGCAGACCCTCCTTTCCAGGTGGCTCGGGCCAGGGAGCAGGTCAATCCCAGCCCACGTCTGGCCACGGAAGATGTCTAGGTGCACGAGTCCCAGTGAGGGCAGGGGTGAGTGACTCCAGTAAATGGCTCTTCTGCTTCTGAGCAGCTGCACAGCACTGTCCTACTTCTGTCTCCAGTGTCTGCCTCCAGGTTCCCTTCCTATTTCCAGGCAGTCTGGTCCCAAACACTTCTTCTCGGGCTCTAGGACTGCTATGTCAAGAGGTCCCCCTCCTGGTGACCACTGCCCCCCGCCAGTCCCCTTCCTGAGCCTCTCTC